TGACTTTTTTTTTTTTTAAACATATTGATTTCTTGTAATATAACCAATATATAGCTTTTACAGATGTTAACCATAACACCATAATATTAGTTTAGCTCGTAATATTATCATTATTATGTCATTATTATTATCATTACAATTATTAGTTATAATATATATATATATATATATATATATATAAATATATATAAAATATTTAAGCTTAAATTTTTTATTCCTAAAATACGTTATTCGTGCAACCCCATATAATGAAAGTGATAAACTGTGTTAATATTTTAATTAACAAACATGTTCAAAAAATAATTAAGAACGTTTTTAATCATTGAGTGCATAAATTCATATTATTGTGAACATTATTTTTCATGTTTTGATATGGCAAGGGTAAAATAATTTCTTAAATATTTTCTGTCAACTTAATATTCAAAAGAGCGCAAATTAATTTACCGTGGCAATATGAATGTTATTATTTATTTCACTATAATTTGACCTGTCCCTCCACAAGGTGTACCTCACCATTGACCACATCGTCATCAGATGTCCCAAATACGCTGAAGCAAGAAATATTTTCATCAACCCTACATATCTCTTTCATAACCTCAGCGAAGAAAACTCTGGAGCAATCTACAACATTTTCCACCGTATTAATTTAAGCTATAAATTGTAAAACCTATTTGTATTGAATTTTGTAATTCTTAATTATTTGTTCTTATTGTAGGCTATTAACCTTTTGATGTTGAAGCCTTTACTTTAAATAAAAAAATTAAAAACATTTTACCTAATATGTACCATTAATATCCAAGAAAAAGTAGTCAACCATGTGAAAGTAATGCGAATAATACGCTATTATACAAAATACCAATTGAATATAATATGTATATAACAACTCTGGTTAATCAGATTGGAATTGTAAAGAACTAATTTTTATATCTCTACTGCTTTTGAGTGTTTCATGTTTTGAATACTTTAAACTCTTTGATGTTCATGATTTTCTTATGTAACACAAGGCGGACTTTTTTTCTATCATTCAAAGGGTGACAAATACGAAAAAGACTTTTTGAAACATTATTTTCTATCATTCATATAATTCAAATAGTTTTTTTTTTTTTTTTTTTCGAATTAAAATTGTAGACGTTGATTCTTGTAATTCTGATTTAATACCCTCTTAAATCAATCATTTTATACGTAAAACCATATTTTTATTTTTATTTTGTTGGTGCATATAGACACGACAAAAAAAATATAAAACATTACTTTTGATGCATTTGACATTCAAATCCCATTGGAAAATATTCAAATATACATAAATTGAAGTTATACTTTTGAAATGACCTTATGGTGTTTTTAGATTCTATTTTGTATGCTTCGAATGTTAGTGTAATCAATGTCAAAGTCACAATCCACAAAAAGGCTTTGGAGAAAAAAATGACTTTTGATGATTTGCACAAAATGAAAATAATATTTCTCTTTGAATGCTTACTTTATATGAATAAAAATGTTGAATATATTTTTTGAAAAGAGCTCAAACACCTACTCAGGATAACTTATTACTCGAATAAACCCAAACAAATGTTACAAGTACGAAACAAAGTTGCTTTAAGAAATACTAATGAAAGTATAGTTCTAATTAAAAGACTTTTACACAATTAATAAATATAGTTATATAATCATATAAAAATAAAACAAATTGTACCGGATTCCACCTCAGAATTATTCTTTAGTCTTTATCGAACAAACCTTATCCGAGTATATTGTATAAAAAAACAGTTATATATATAATAATAATATTATAATAATATTATAATAATATTATCTGTGATCGTATCTCGATCCGTTTTGGATAATTGCTCCATATCTGATAGTGTCGCGGTAATTCTGCAATTTAAATTTTAACTTTAAACTTAATTTTTACAGAGATTCTGTGATATTGCTATCAATATAATGTTAATAATAAAAACATAAATTATTGACAAATAAATAGGTCGTAGGAAATATGTATCGTGGACTCTTCAATTAATTTAAATACAAAAAAAAATTATACACGATGTTAAATAAAAAATAAATAGCAAATGAATACACGGCATTCGACTGCATAATATAATACTTTGTAATGGAATTTATTAACGCTATCATTTATATCATTAAAAAGAATGAACATTTATTTTAATGCATACCATAACTGTTGAACTCAATATTTTACGCGGATTTCGAACTACAGTTACCATCTCATGTATAAACGCATTATTTTTATTTTTAAATTACAAATCAAAAATACGCAGAAAAAATACCAGAGTTGAAAATGTAAAAAAAAAAACACGAATCTGTAATATTATACATAGAAAAATAAATTGTTTGCGTTGAAAATAAAAAAGTTCAAAAGGTTGGTTTTTTTTTTCGTTTTATGCTAACACTAAAATGTTCAATTTACCTTGTATAGAAAAATCATTATTACTCAATGCGATGTCGATTGTCTGGATTACGTCGGGAAAAGAAACACTAATGACAACTGTGATTCAAATCAAATCAGCACATATTGTGTATCGTTCCGTACAATTTGATGTTCGTATTGTACGAGCTGTCCATACATTTATTTTATAGATTTTTCGATTTATTTTTATTTTTTATTTTTAATCACTCACGTATGTCCGCGAGAATGTATTTTAGAATATATGAATTTATTAGCTAAATCTTTCATGCGGTAAACATATATATATGTACAACTTTCGTTATTTCTACGGTATACGGATAATAATAAATTATTCAATAAAGCGAAATAATGAACCATGACAAATGAAATGCAAACATTTTAGAAACGACTCGACAATATCATATATTCTAAGCTTGTACAGTGAAATATAGGCGCTCGTCCGTATCACGTTACCAATAATTATCATAGTCAATCTGTCATGAAACCTGAGAATGACAGAACATTTCGACAGATGAAATATGTTAAACTGTATCTTCAGTTGTGGTTATTTTAATTTTATTTCATTTGTGTATGGCAGCTTATGTGAAAAAAAAAATTAGTTATAACATTTTAGATATTAGTCATTAGTTAAATTATTAGTTCTTCAAATTATAGAATTACATTATAATTGAAAAATGTCAAAAAGTAGACGACAAATAAAATAACCGCGCCATTTTGGCGATAGACCATAATTCCTTTCCTCTGTAATGCAACGTTTATTTTACTTTCTTCATTACCTACTTAAAATACACTCATCAAATTTAATTTCTCTGATGGCATATCAATAATTTCCCCTTATGTGTAATGAATCTAATTAGTAATCCTCAAAATAATTTGATGTTTTCGTTTAGTTTCTGTTTAATAAACCTCAACGTAATGATAATTTTTATCAAAATACAGAATCATAGTACATTGTGTAGCAATACTCGTATACTTAAAAAAAAAAAAAGGCGAAACTTCTAGGTCGGTTAATACACCAAAGTTGAATGAGATACAAGGTTGGGTAAATGATATAGCTGTATTGGGATTTTAAACTTGAAATCAATGCAATAATGCTCTCGAAAAAACGATTCTGAGTCAAAGAGATCGAGTGGATCAGTTTATATTTCTAAAGATGTTCGACATAGTAGTGAAACCAAATTTTTTATAAAATATTTTATAAAAATATTTCGAAATTATGAATTATAACATAAATACTCAGTAAATATTTTGAGTTGATACGGTTTATATTTATAGAAAACAACTAAATAACTAATCAAATTTAATGTAAATTCATCGAAATAGCCAATTTTGGCAATATTTAGTTTTATAACATTTATAAAACTGTTTTTCGAGTTTCAGAAAAAATGTTTAAAATTAGTTACAAAGATAATATTTTTGAAAACTTTGAATCTAATTTTCAAATCCAAAGAACAACGGTTGATAGTTTTATTAATTTTGAAATATAAAAATGTAATGGACTCGCAATTTTTATCATTTTGTCAAAAATTAATATTCAAACTTCGTAATATCGTCGAAAACCAGTAAGCCATACATTTTCTAATTACTTTTTGTCAGTTTTTAGAGAAACCAAAAATAATTTCCTAAAATAAGAAAATTAAAATTATCCTCTTGAATTACCAACTAGAAAATATTTTCTAACAGAAATCTTTTATGATCGTGAAGATCGGAGTAATCCTTCTGGTTAAAATCGTGTTCACAGACACAAAAAAAATACATACACCTCATGGTAAAATTAATAAATTTCTCATTTCACTCAGAATGGAAAAAAAAATTCTTCGTTTATTTTAAAATATAATAAAATACAAATAAGTTTTCATATTTTTGTTTAAAAAACTCAGTAAAACGTGTTGAGTATTTGCATTGAAAACGAGTTTTTGGTAATTTATATTTAGCGTTCCATACATTTTCGAAATCATAGTGTTTTCAATAATTATCGGAATAATAATTGTAATAAAATAATAAATAGGTATTGTGCACAGTTTTGTTGGAAATTACAATGGATTGAGAGTAAAATTTTCTACAAAACAAGGAGTCATTAAAGAACAAACGAATCGAACAATGTAAATGCATTGATATTTTTCCGGAACTACATCGGAACGAAGCTTATACAATATTTGCATATACAGCTGATATACTCTAATAAGTACCGGGGGTTAATTGTTGTTCTAATTCTCATTATGTAACGTAGATTACTGAGAAAAATCATTATCGAAGAGCCAGCAATTATATTAAAAACGCTAATAATAATAATAATAATAATAATAATAATAATAATAATAATAATAATAATAATAATAATAATAATAAT